TTGCCCAAGAAGAGTCAGCCACAAAGTTTTAATCGGAAGTCACACAGCGATCTATGGGATGCAGAGACTACGTCTGCACTTGATTTGTTTACATTTGTTTTATTGAATAAGCCATAGGTGGTTAAGCTTGCCCAATAAACTAAACCAAAATGTTACTCATTTTATAGTTTAAGATGTTGTTCATCACCAACCTCAGCTGCAGAACGCTAGTGTGGCTGCTCTTGACCTCATATAGAAGATATTACAGAGTAATAGAATATAGAAGATTGATATTTTTTTTTGAGTTTGGGTTATTATTTTTTTTTTCAACATCTAAACATTATTTGCCATGAAACGTATCTTTTGGTTTGGAAGATCTGCCCTGGTTTCATGAGTTCTTTTGCGCTGGCTTCGTTAAGAAAAGGAAATGAAGCACATTTTGAGCATCTTTTTCAGGTGTTGTTATGTGAGTGCTGCCTTGGTTGCGTGTACAGGTTGAATGGTTGAGGAACCTGTTCTATTCGCCAGGTAGGGATGTCCACAGGGTACGGTCAAAAAGCCAGCGATGGGAGCCACGATGATGCAATCAAAACCCCACCCCTTTTGGATGAGCAAAAGCAATCGTGCACCCGAAGCTCCACACACACAAGCACACACACACACACCTACATGGGCACGCCTAAGAACTTGGTGAGCTTCAATAGAATCATTGTGGTGGCCATCTTGGGTTAATATCTACCATATCTTTCAGTCCTTCCTGTTCCTGGGGAATTTTCAGGAAATTGTGAGAAGGAGGGGAGGAAAGGGAACAATAGGCCCTGGGAATATCAGTACTGAGCGATGGCCTCCAGTGATGATTACAGAATCATCCCTTCAACAGTAGAGAAATTAGCTTTTTCTTTATGTTTATCTATAAGTATCAGGTTGCTGACATGAGTTTAAGTCTGTCTAATAATAATTCCTCTACTTGAGAAGAAATTTCCACCATCCCTCCAAACACATGGATTAAACTGGATTGAGGATGACAAAAAGAAAAAAATAGAAAAGAAACTGTCCTAAATACAGGCATGACAAAAGAATGTGGTGGGTTTTTATTTTTACGGGAACCATCCTAATTTTGCACTCAAAAAGGAACCACTTCCTTGCTGATTTCTGGCCATACCAGCAGAACTGCCCACTGAGTATGCTCTAAAAAGCTATCAAAGGACCCGTGATATTATGATCGATGGTCCCATTTATACATTTTTTTAAAAAAATCATCTTTTTTGAACCATACCCTGTGGACTTTAGGGACAGTGGGCACACCAATGCACCTCAGTGCTCTCCTTAGAGGTTTAGTTTGCTCAACGCAATGAACCCATCGAAAGCATGCAGATGAGACTTGGCTTGGAAATGACTATGGCAGCCTTTCCCCACTTTATTTTCTTCCCTTTGAGTTGGATATCAAGCTTCCTCATCCCTCAGGGCCACGTGGCTGAGGAATTCTGGAGCCTATAAATCAGAGGTGGGTTCCTATCAGTTCGCACCTATTCGGTAGAACCGGTTCGTCAAATCTACCGAGCTGGTTAGAAGAGGTTCCACCAGTGGACCCAGAAAGCAGGCCACACCTACAGAAGAGGTTCCAAAAATTTTTGAAACCCACCACTGCTATAAATCCAAACACATCTGGAAGGTATCAGATTAGAAGAAGGGGTTTAAATTACAGAAGTGAAAATCCAGCACTTCTGGAGAGCACCAGCTTGGAGAAGATGGGGTCAAAGTATTAATGACTTAGGGCAAGAGACAGTTCCTCCCGCTCCCACTCCCCCCCCCCACATCTTAGGCGATATGTAAAAAAAAACCAAGTCAAGTTAATAATAATTGAGATGATCAAGGCTGCATCTGTTAGCCAGCTTGACTCTTGACACTCAATTTGGCCCTAGAGGATGATTGACCACAAAGGGTTCCAGAAGAAAACTAATCATCACATCCATTTCTAAAGGCAACAACTGATCCTCGCCTCCCTGAAAACGTTCCAGGCAAAATTATCTTTCATAAATTTCCATCAAACTTCTGGGCAGAGCAATTAGGAGGACCAGGGAAAGGAAAAAATTTGTGATGACAGTATTATCATTACTGAAAAATACTTTATGGGAAAGGGTTTCTATCTAATGTTTTCCGTTAAATTTAATGGAGGTACGGCAGGGAGCCAGAGGACTACAGAGAGCTGGAACAAAATGCATGTTCTTCACACACACACACACACACACACACACACACACACACACACACACTTTCTTCTTGGCCATCTTTTAACTACACAAGTGTAAGAATGCTAGCTTGGAGAATTGCACCTAAATTCTCTTCTCCCCTGAACTATTTTCTAAGATAAATTGTCTTCTGTTTGACTGAGGGAGCCCTGATAAGGAGGAAAAAAAAATTGCACCCTGCCCAACCTTTCAAGACCTTCTTTTTGCCAAAACATCCAAGTCCGCCATATTGTCATTTTTTAAACACACAGCCATCCCTGTTCCCTCAGCACTGCATTGGACACCCAGAAAAAGTGACAAATGTCACACCGGGGCAAATTTTGCTGCTATTGCACACCTGAAGGACATGTCACCTAGAGCAGTGATCTCCAACCTTGGCAACTTTAAGACTTGTGGACTTCAACTCCCAGAGTTGAAGTCCACAGGTCTTAAAGTTGCCAAGGTTGGAGAACACTGATCTAGAGGACTCAGCAAAGGGGACCCTTTCTGGAGACGGAAATCCAATGTGGATGGTTCTCGTCTGCCTGTACAAAAGACTGAGGGAAGAAACCTCAGCGGAATGGGAGTTCCATTTTCTTATTCTTCTTTTCTTTCCACCTGGGTTCCCCTTGCAGGATGTTATTATGTCACCCTGGAATAGTCACAAATCTCACTGGATTTAATTTAAATCCAGCGGCTGCACATGTTCCAGTGTACATGATGATAGGTTATAGAATCCACGCTCTCTCTTCCTCTCCTCAGGTTCAGAAAGTTCTAGAAATGGCCACTGAGTTTACAGTTTCCTATTTCATTGCCTACATTTGGGGAATGTACAAAATAAACTCATGAGCTGGATCCCAATTGTAGTAGTAGAATGCAGTAGTAGTGGTAATTACAAAAAAAGAGATGAAAACTAGCAGAGAGAGGGGGGGGAGAGAGAGAGAGACTCCTGTGGAATCAAAATATAATAAATTTGGTGTAATAATCTGGAAGAAACCCTCTGAGGGGAAGGATTAATGGCACTAATGTAGACCCAGAGCAAAGAGTAATACGGGCTACTTGGAGTCTTAGCCTGCTATTTTCCTGGGCAAAAGTGAGTTATCCAATATGTAAGTCAACATTTCCTTAATATGGTTTACTGAATAGACTACAATTGACCTGACTTTATACAGCACACTAAATCATAAACCCTGGTTTACAGATCACACTGGCTCAATTCATACAGCACACTAAACCACAAGCAAGTAAATCATATTTTGCCTTAACGTGTTGTGCGAACTCTACCCATGACAAACTCAGCTGGTTACGAGAAAGCTATGCCTCCCTATTGCAGATGGCCTCTGGACACTGGGCCCAGAATCAAGAATCAAAGTGGGGCTGATAGAAACACCTGAAACAACAATGCAAAAAATGAAGGAGGGAAGTCAGGAGATCATCTCACAGTCTTTCTCTTCATTGTTCATAAAATGGGGACCATGCCTTGTACATAATGCTGGAAACTGGGGTCTTTCCAACCACTCTTTCTGTGCACCTACAATATCTTGCATCTACCTCTGAGGGTAGAATAAGAAGCAATGGGTGGAAGCTAATTAAGGAGAGAAGCAACTTAGAACTAAGGAGAAATTTCCTGACAGTTAGAACAATTAATCAGTGGAACAGTTTGCCTCCAGAAGTTGTGAATTCTCCAATACTGGAAGTTTTTAAGAAGAGATTGGTTAACCATTTGTCTGAAGTGGTGTAGGGTTACCTGCCTAAGCAGGGACTAGAAGACCTCCAAGGTCCCTTCCAACTCTGTTATTCTATTCTACTACCATCTTGATTTTGCCCTGAATACCATCCTGTTCCATACTATAAGCTATCAGTTCTCAGAATTTTAACCAACAGCCATGCTGGCTGGGCACACATCTAGACCTTGGAGGCACCTGATAGGAAGGCTAAACTAGGATGAATTTGCCTTGTTGAACTAAAACCTCAGGGAGGTGATGGGAAAATGTGGAAGGTGGGAGTAGGGGAAGAGATCTCTCTTCCTTGAGGCTCATGATGAGGCTCTTCCACACTCCAGGCTTCCAATTGGTGTAGTGTTGGTTTAAAAAAAAAGATTTCTCATGGATGTCTTTGAATCAGGCTATAAAGAATTGGCCTTTTAAAAAAATCCACAAATATACCATGTCATGCTTTTTGTAGGCATCTACTGCTAGTTTGCAAGAGCAGATATATCAAGGCAGGTCATCTGTTTCAATGGTAGTCAGAAGCTAAGAAGAGCCCTCTGGTTCCCAAGGACCAGAGATATTATCACCCTATAGACTGAAAGGCCTGGGAATTTAAACAGTCCTGAAAGGGACTCGGAAGATGCCACAATTCGATGGATCCCTTTATGTGGGGAGAGGCAAGAATTAGCCTCCAATGGGCTCTACTGATTTTGCATGAGTTTTCCTCCATGAAAACAGGGGCAACCCTCTGTCCTTCTAGTTAAAAACATTTCCAGCAAATAGATTTGAATGCTTCCAGCTTGCACTAAAATGCTAAACTTAAAAAAAAATAAACCTGTATATTGGGTTCAGCAGTGGGATTCCAAATCTTTTCCTTACCGGTTTTATGAGAGAGCACTTTGTGCGCATGTGCAGCACTCAAAGACCGCCCTCCGTGTCAGCACTGGTGAACTGAGCTGTTGTTTAGCTCACCTGAGGCGCGGCAATCTGCTCAGCTGCGCAAATCTGCTGAGCTAAAAAAAACAAGGGAATATAGGACAGGGAATGGCAGGGGCGTGGCCAGCCAGAGGTGGCATTTACTGGTTCTCTGAACTACTCAAAATTTCTGCTACCGATTCTCCAGAAACAATCTGAACCAGCTAAATACCACCTCTGATTGGATTGTTTTGAAGATCTGCCTGGATCTGGGGTTTAAAATGAGTTGGGCAGCCTGCAGTAATGATAATTCCAATCATGTTCTCATTTCAGATATGCGTGGACTTGACAGCATGAATGTACATGAGAAAGGGACACAATGAACATCCTGCTAAAAGGCTCTGGGGAATTTTTTACCCTTCCTCTAGAGGTTCCACCCTTCAAATTACAAAGCTTTTGCTTATTATTGTAAGGTGAACATTTCAAGAAACCAAATAGCCATGTTGGGTCTCAGTGTAGCAAAGAACACTCAGGAAGGAGACAGACAGAAGCCAAGAGAAGGCTAATAACACCAATGAGATCTTAGGCAGGTCCCAGATATTTCGTCTTTTCTCACATTGACCCTAGCATCTATTCATTATCTATCATGCCATGTCTGGATGGAACTCTAGTTTTCTCTCATCACCTTGTGGTTTGGGTTCTTTGTGCCCCTATTCTAATAAAGCTTTTTCCAGATATTGGCCTTTCTTTCAGCCCATTCAACTCTGGACCTTCAGTTTCCTTTGCATGGAAGAAAAGATACCACGCATTTCCTCCTTGTTCCAGATTGCCAGGAATAATCACTTTCTACAACTCAAAATTTATTATTAGGGGGTATTATATTAGCTACTCGCTAGGTTCAGCCTTATGTGTTTCATTACTGGAGGTGCAAACACTGAAAATAAGCTGCCACCAGTCCTTCCCATTCCACCTTCCTACTTAACCTGCCCATCCCAGCGGCAGCCATCTCTGCCACAATGCCAAATGCCATCATGGGTAAGGGCAAACTTCACATATTTGTATGCCGGAGCAAATGGTATTAGGGCCCATTCTCCCACATGGCCACGTGCATGCACATTTCATCCTGCAAGCTGCTTCCGTTGCAAACCCAGATGGCATTGAAAATGAGCACGAAAATGAGCAACGTTGACGAGTTCAGTTCCTGTTACCCCCATGTCTACTGGGCAATGCAGAGTCAGTGGCTAGATTTATAGCAATCAAACCCATGTTGTTGTTGTTATTGTTGTTGTTGTTGTTGTTGTGTTCTTTCTGCACCAGCCATGCCACATATGCCTCAGATCTAATTTTTCCTACCTGTTGAGCAAATCCTCAGCAATTCGGCTAAAAGGATGGAGATATAATGGAGCTATTGCACGATAAACCTAGGTTTCACACCAGAAGTTAGTTCTTCCCTGTTGCTGTTGGCCGCTGCATAAAATGGGGGCCATAGACGGGCAAGGAATTAGCGAGGAGAAGAAGAAATCAAATCAGAATTTAGATAGTTAGGAAAGTGGGAAGCCAGCAGAAAACTTGTTCTAAAACCTTTGTATGGAAGCCATCGAAGTCAGAGGCCACCAACCTTTTGGGTACCAGGAAGTGGTTCCATGGAGAGGTTTTTCCATGGACCGGAGGGGGTGTGGTTTCATGTACTGCCTGCATCCCACGGGGGCTTCGTTTGTTTGCGTGGCCCAGTTTCTGGCATGCCACGGCCCAGGGCCCAGGGCCACGGACTCGGGGCTGGGGACCCCTGCTCTAAGTCAGCACGAATGCTTGGCAATAGCTCTAGTCTGTTCTTCAGGTCACAGATCACCTGTTCCCTCTTTCTGTGCAATAGTGCAAATGCCCAGGGAGGGAGAGAGGGAGGGGGGGAAAGGGGAAGCGACTTTGCAATGCCATGGCTAAGTTGTGCCTATTGCACACATCAAAGACAGATCCGACTTACTGCACAATACACCTGGCACAAGGCGGGAAGCCGCCGGTACCTGTCAAAACATTTTACCCTACATTGTGTGTGTGTGTGTGTGTGTGTTTGTGTGTGTGTGTGTGATTGTGTGTGCATGTGTGCGTGCATGTGTAGTGTAGTGTCGTTGTCAAGTTTCAACAGATGGCTCTAGCCTGGCTGAAGAAATGAAGGCAAAGAACAGAAGAAGAAGAAGAAGTAGAAGAAGAGCAGGGCTGAATGATGGAGGAAAGAGTTCTGTTTCCCCAAGACCCTCTTTGCCCCACTCATTGCTGGGCCTGAGCAGCCTGAACGGGCCTCACCCAGGTACCCAGCTTTGATTGCTGGGCTGTGGGGCACTGGGCAAAGGGGCCACGTTGAGACCGTTTTGTGGCGGAAGAGCCGAGTCAAAGTTGAAGTCCATCTCGTCGCTGTCCATGAAGTCATTGAGGATGATGGACTCCACATCGCATTCCAAGCTCCCGTTGAACATGTCCAAGTCTAGATCGGCTGGGAATCTGTCCTGACTCAAAACAGGGGTGTGCATGGCTTCTGGGTAAGGTCCCTGCAAGGAATCTAGCAAGCTCATGTGCGCCCCCTGGTTGCTGACGTAGGAATGGAGATGCCCGTGGTGAGGCATGTTCACCATGCTGCAAGTGTCACCGGGCAGGCTCATAAGGCTGATCGGAGACGGTAAGGCACTGTTGTTAAGAGGAGGGTGATGGCCAGCTGGCAACGGGTGGTGGTATAACGTGTTGCTCTTCATGAGGGAGGACGAGTGGGGAGGGTAGGGAACCAACCCTATCTCTCCACCTCCACCCCCACCGCTACACACCAGGGCGTTTGGTCTGTGGCCGCGAGGCAGGCCCATGCTGCTGGCCGGGGGCAGGTGCGGCTCCCCCTCCTTGTGCGCGTAGGAAATGGAGGAGAGCAGGTCCTGCAACGAGGCGTTGCGGTAGGAATTCATGGGGACGAAAGTGGCCTGCTTGTTCTCTTGGATGGTCTGCATGGGCAGACGGCGCATGATGCTCATGGCGGGCTGGCTATAGATAGTCCCAGAGTAGGTGTTCCCGCCTCCTCCCCCTCCCCCACCTCCTGCCCCCACGGAGGAGCACTTGGAGCTGAAGCCAAAGTTGGAGGTCCTGGGCCGAAGTCCTCCAGCAGAAAGCGGCTGGGCTGGGCTCATGCTGTAGTTGTCCTGCAAGTCATCGAGAAGACTCTCTCCCAGGCTCTCGTTCAGGTTGATGGTACCAGTGAGATCGGTCAGCCTGGGCATCTCCACTGAACAGCGGGCGTTCAGGGAAGGGGACAGGGTGCTCGAAGGGCTGGGGTACATCAGCGGGGAGGAGGGGGTCCCATCATCCTCCTCCAGATCATCTGGCTCATGGTTGGCCATGATGGGGGAGAGGCGACTGCTCAGCGTGCTGGCCGAGGAGTTGGCCCGTGTCCGGAAGTCAGCCCAAGCGTCATATTCCTCGCCGGCGTGGGAGGTGGGGCTCTCTGACCATTTGGCCTGCTGGCTCGCTGGGCTTTCCTCTCCTCGTTCCTGAGCAGTCTGGCTCTGCTTTTTCCGGCTGGCTTTGCCTTTGATCCGCAGGAACTTGCTGTTGTTGTCCATGGAGACGGCTCGTCGGCGGGGCGTCTTCCCAGTTTTGCCACCTTCGGGGTTCAGCATCCACCAGGAACTTTTGCCGGTGCCTTCGTTTTGCACGCGGATGAAGCGGGTGTGCAAGGACAGGTTGTGCCGGATTGAATTCTGCAAGCAAAACAAGACCAAAAGAGGAAGAAGAAAAAAATCTATCACTGTTGGCCAGAAGCAATCCTCACATCTGTTACTTGCCATTCTTTCTGCTTTCTACCCCCCACCCCACCTTAAAAAGCTACCCGTCCCCTGGCTTTACAGCTGACATGCGCCAAACTTTTTCAGTTCCACTTGGGGTTAGCAGAGAGCCCCACTTTTCTCAAATCGAGAGACACATTTGGGATATAAAAAAACAGCACCCTGCTCAAAATGGGATGCACTGAAACGAAGATTGGGAAATGGCCAGGATAAAAATAAATAAATCAGCTATAAACTTAATAAGCCTCTAATTAACTAAATTAAATATTCCGTTAACATGATTATAGTCAAATCTCCTTGAAGCCAAACTCAACTTAAACTCCTGGGGACTTTCTAGAGGTGTCCTTGAGTCGTATTCTTGGTAACAGTGGGAACAGGATTGGCTATGATCTTTTCTTGCATTATGCCTCAACTTACAACAGTTCATTTACTTTGGGCCAATCATCAGGAGACTGGGAGTTCTAATCCCGCCTTAAGCCTGAAAGCTGGCTGGGTGACTCCGGGCCAATCATCAGGAGACTGGGAGTTCTAATCCCGCTTTAAGCATGAAAGCTGGCTGGGTGACTCTGGCCCAATCACCAGGAGACTGGGAGTTCTAATCCCGCCTTAAGCCTGAAAGCTGGCTGGGTGACTCTGGCCCAATCATCAGGAGACTGGGAGTTCTAATCCCGCCTTAGGCATTAAAGCTGGCTGGGTGACTCCAGGCCAATCATCAAGAGACTGGGAGTTCTAGTCCCGACTTAGGCATGAAACCGGCGGAGTGACTTTGGCCCAACCAACCAGGAGACTGGGAATTCTAATCCCACTTTAGGCGTGAAAGCCAACTGGGTGACTTTGGGCCAATCATCCTTTTCTCAGCCCAACTCGCTCACAGGGCTGTTATTGCGGGAAAAGTTAGAGCAGTGTTTCTCAACCTTGGCAACTTGAAGATGTCCGGACTTCAACTCCCAGAGCATTCAATTCAATTCCCCAGCATTCGCTGGCTGGGGAATTCTGGGAGTTGAAGTCCGGACATCTTCAAGTTGCCAAGGTTGAGAAACACTGAGTTAGAGGAAGAAAGGTATGCTAGGTGTGTTTGCCCCCTTGAGATATTTATAAAAAACAATAAAGGCAGGATACAAATAAATAAATCAAATAAACAAATATCAGCGGAGCAAAGACAGCAACCAATATGCAAGCATCAGCTTCACCAGACATGTAACAAGCCTTTTTTTGTGCAATTCTACTTGCTTGAAAAGACAAGACTTAGCTGATTTGGAGTGTTTGGGAAGTTAATAAGCTGGCTATGGAGGGATAACCATTTTCAAGATCTTTCCCCGGGGTTAAAACTATGCAGAGAGCCAACTCTTGTTTCTCAACTTCAGTTGCCATGCTAGGTTGCTTAGTGAATAGAATAAATTAAAATAAAATTGCCATCAATTTGGCATGCTGGGCTTTTTGTTTTTTGTTTTTAGGAAGCGTAGCATATAAATAAAATCACTGACCCAACCTTTCCGTGAGGGAGAGAGGCGGTCGAGAAACATGAAGTATAAAAAAGGAAAGAAAAAAGAAAACGGAATATAACTTTCTCGAGGGTCTTTATGATGAATCCTTCACTTCATCCCACGATTGCCTTCGGCTCGTTAGGGGAATATTTAGTGAGAAATAAAAAAAGATCAAACTGTCGCAGTGCTAAGTGGTGACCAAATTCTGGACTTCCACAAAGTTTTACCTGCTGCTATTTTTGCAGCAAACTTCGGTGGCCCAAATCCCGACCGTTCATATTCTGCCTTCTGAGATTAAAGCAAGTATCCCTCTTTCCACTTTCATATCCTTCTGGACTTCAATGCTTTTAAAAGATGAAAAGTTAAAATTGTCTAGCACAACACCCTGAATTCTCCAGCCAGCCGTGCTGAAGTCCACACCTCTTAAAATGGCCAAGGTGAAGAAGCACTGACCTTAACGGGATAAACTGAGCTCAGGTTTATACAACAATGGGTGAAACAGACGGTCCTTGACTTAAGTTTATTTAGTAATGGTTCAAACTTATGACGGCACTGAGAAAAGAACGTGATCGTTTCAGCCTCCCCGTGGTCACGTGATCGAAACTCAGACTCTTGGCAACTGACTCATATTTATGACGGTTGCAGTGTCCCAGGGTCATGTGATTCTCTTTTACGACCTTCTGATAAGTCAATGGTTCACTGAGGGAAGCCAGATTCCCTCAACAACCCTGTTACTAAGGTCACAACTGCAGTGATTGACTTCACAATTGTGGCAGGAAAGGTCATGAAATGGGCAACACTCAGCGTAAATGTCTCACTTAGCAACATTAATGTTGGGCTTGATTACAGTTGTAAGCTGAAGACTTCCTGTACATAGAAGTCAAGGTTTTTGCAAATATTTTTCTATGCTTCTCTCTCTCTCTCAAATTTTTCTTTCTCTCTTTCTCTCTCTCTCCAATCACTCTCTCTCTCCAATCTTTCTTTCTCTCTCTTTTTCTCTCTTTCTAAACTCTCTCTCTCTCCAATCACTCTCTCCAATCTTTCTTTCTCTCTTTCTCTCTCTCTCCAATCTCTCTCTCCACTCTCCCTCTCCAATATTTCTTTCTCTCTTTCTCTCTCTCTCCAATCTCTCCCTCTCTCCAATCACTCTCTCTCCCTCTCCAATATTTCTTTCTCTCTCTTTCTCTCTCTCTCTAAAATCTCCCTCTCTCCAATCACTCTCTCTCTCCCTCTCCAATATTTCTCTCTCTCTCTCTATCTCCAATCTTTTTTTCTGTTTCTCTCTCTCTCCNTGTTTCTCTCTCTCTCCAATCTCTCTCTCTCCAATCACTCTCTCTCCCTCTCCAATATTTCTTTCTCTCTCTCTCTATCTCCAATCTTTTTTTCTCTCTCTCTAAACTCTCTCCCTCTCCAATCTTTCTTTCTCTCTCTCTCCAAACTCTCTCTCTCCAATCACACTCTCTCCCTCCCCCTCCCTCCCTCTTCAACCTCTCTCTCACTTTCTCTCTCTCTAAACTCTCTCTTTCCAATCTCTCTCTCCAATCTTTCTTTCTCTTTCTCTCTCTCTCCAATCACTCTCTCTCTCCCACTTCAATCTTTCTTTCTTTCTCTCTAATCTCTCTCTCTCCAATCACTCTCTCTCCCTCTCCAATATTTCTTTCTCTCTCTTTCTCTCTCTCCAATCTCTCTCTCCAATCACTCCCTCTCTCCCTCTTCAATCTTTCTCTCTCCTCTCTCTCTCCCTCCCCCTCCCTCCCTCTTCAATCTCTCTCTCTCTCTTTCTCTCTCTCTAAACTCTTTCTCTCCAATCTCTCTCTCCCCAATTTCTTTCTCTCTCCACTCACTCTCTCTCTCCCTCTTCAATCTTTCTTTCTCTCTTTCTCTCTCTCCAATCTCTCTCTCTCCCTTTCCAATATTTTTCTCACTTTCTCTCTCTCCAATCTTTCTCTCTCCAATCACTCTCTCTCTCTCCCTCTTCAATCTTTCTCTCTCTCTCTCCCTCTTCAATCTCTCTCTCTCTCATTCTGTCTCTCTGTCTCTCTCTGTCTCTCTGTCTCTCTGTCTCTGTCTCTGTCTCTCTCTGTCTCTCTCTCTCTCTCTCCACTGTGTTTGATGCAGAGTTTTATGGAACCCCGAAGCTGACACCTATCAGCTCTTCGGTGTCTGCTGTGTGTTGAGTGTTCCTTTTGTTCTGGTTGTTGTCCGGAACTGGGCGAAGGCAGCTGCTGGGCTGAATGTACTAAGCGAGGAATTGCACATACAGACAGGGGGATGGGCTGGAAGGAGGCACAGGGGTCGAAAATCACCCTGCGAGAGGCTGGCGAGGCGACCGCAGAGTTTGGATCTGTCCCTTTGTCCAGAGGCATACTAATGAGCAGGCAAGAAAGTTACAGAGGCCCATAGATCATATTATGGAATGGCTTGCTTCTCTGCACTTCATTTATTTGGAGACTGCTTGCAGGCTGGCACTCTGCCAGCAGCCACCAAATCCAAGTCTACAGAAATCAATCTCTCGCTGACTGATTAAGCCGTGTTTAGAACTAATTGCTCCTTCGTGTGTGGGGAGAATAAATTATGGGCTTTCATCTCGGCATCTTTAAAATGCAATAGCAGGTAGGGCCTCGCTGTTAACTCTTTCCATCCCGCAGTGCAGGAGACGAGGCACGCCAACTTGGAAACCCAGGAGAAGGAGAAGGAAAAGAAGAGGAGGAGGAGGGAGGGAGGAAGGATGGAAGGAAAGAAGAGGAGGAAGGAGGAGGAGGAAGGAGGAGGAAGAAGAAGGAGGAGGAGGAGGAAGAACAAGAAGAGGAAGAGGAGGAGGAGAGAGGGGGGGAGGAAAGAAAGAAGAGGAGGAAGGAGGAGGAAGGAGAGAGGAGGAAGGAGGAGGAAGGAGGAGGAAGGAGGAGGAGAAGGAGGAAGAAGAAGAGGAGGAGGAGGGAGGGAGGAAAGAAAGAAGAGGAGGAAGGAGGAGGAGAAAGGAGGAGGAAGAAGGAGGAGGAGGAGGAAGAAGAAGAAGAAGAGGAGGAGGAGGGAGGGAGAAAGAAAGAAGAGGAGGAAGGAGGAGGAGGAAGGAGGAGGAGAAGGAGGAAGAAGAGGAGGAGGAGGAGGGAGGGAGGGAGGAAAGAAAGAAGAGGAGGAAGGAGGAGGAAGGAGGAGGAAGGAGGAGGAAGAAGAAGAGGAGGAGGAGGAAGAAGAAGAAGAAAAAGAAGAGGAAGAATGAGGAGGAGGGGGGGAGGAGAGACTTGGGGGAGGGGGGAGATCAGAGAGCGGCAACTAACATGAGTGCCTTCCCCTTCCATCCCACTAGCTTCAGCAGGGGCCAAGAGATATGCCACCGGTCCCTTGTACAAATGCTAGTTGGATTTACCAGCCTTCCCAGGAAGAGCAGTTCTTCTGGGTATCTCAAAAATGTATGGCAGGTAGCAAGGAAGA